TAACTGAGTATCTGCTATTTTTTCATGTGTTGTTAAATCACCCTCTTGGCTTGTACATCTGCATAGACTGAGTTTATTCTTTCTAATGAAAAAAGGAAGCCTCAACAAATCGCTTAGGAAAAGGAATTTTTTACTATTAAATTTTAAACCCTGCAGGTCATGTGTTTGAGCCAGGCTATGAAGAAATTGACAAAGGTAGTTCCCAATCTTAAGTAATAACAGACCTTTTAGGAATAGATACAGTAGGTAAAAATACTATTTCTTGCAAATGTAAGATACCATACAGCTTTCTACTGAGTTCGTGATGCAGAGAATCAACATCATGGTAATGATATAGCAAAATAAATCTTTTGTTTATATCCAGCTAACCTAAAGCAATATAATTATTCGCAGAAAAGCAGTCTCTGGAACTGCCAACAACATGAAATTATAGACAATCAGTGATATTTCTCCTCATTGCTTTAGTGGTGTCCCGGGATCACGAGAACTTGGAGGCACAGCGAGGTTCCAGGAGGACATTGAATCCAGCTCTTGGGATTTTGCAGGGACTTTAATTAAAAGATGCTGAGTCCTGTTTTCCCTCGTCCCTGTTTTTTTTGGCAGGTCTTTAAAACCTGGCTATGCATCCACTTCTGCTTGCCGTAAGCTCATATGCTGTTTGATACGGCTAAGCAGGGTGCCTATGCTCCTCTGGGTACGTAAGTGTGGAAGTATTCAAGTAGCCAGTCATGTTGGATTCAAAAGGGCTGTTAAAGAACATAGTAGAACCTTTCCAGCGAGTTCTACAGTTGTGGTTAAACAGCTTGCACAAGCCATAATACTTGGTGCTAAGGTGGGCAGAGTGAAAGCAAAGCAATTACATGAGTAGGAACTCTATAGTACGTCCTTCATCCATATCGTACTCGTGGAGTTAGGCTTCTGAGGCTAGTCTCTTGGCCTTGAAGTGTATCCATGTTAGTCTGAAGACACTGCAGAACCAATGTGTATTTACTCTTTTAATAGATTTTGTTCCCCACAAAGTCATTTTCATTCTCCCATCTTTCACATAGAACGTAAAAGTATAAGACTTTTCCAAAGTAAATGTAATATTTTCTTGTGCGCCTCAGAGAGTAAGTCATATAGTGTTGGCCAAATAGAAATTATTGGTATACGTTACTATGGCTTTTCTCTACACTGCTAGAACATTCTGATTTTCTCTCTGTTCCTTAGCACTCCCAGTTATAACTATGCTCCAAACCCAGACAAGCACTGGATAATGAGGTATACAGGTCCCATGAAACCTATACACATGGAGTTCACTAACATGCTACAGAGAAAGCGCCTTCAAACACTCATGTCTGTGGACGCCTCTATGGAGATGGTAAGATTAGTACTCACTTTTTTTTTTTTGCTAAACAGATGCATGTTTCTTGAGTTAAGCTCCAAGCTGTGCTGTATATGAAGATGAGGAGGAATGGAGGAGGGCTGCATCAGTTTTTTAATAGTATGTAATCCTCTCACCTCTGAGGATTTTGTCTGTTCAATGTGTAAGGATCTGCATCTCCTAAAGGCAGTTGAGTGAGTTGGGTGGTGTGAGATGATTTGTTGCCACAGAGCCACTATGGATTAAGGAGAAGAGAGAGAGGGATCACCTGAAAAAATGTGCATCACAAATTCTAAAACTGTATCATCTGATAGTGAAAAGTCATCCTACAGCCTGTTGGAGATAACTACCTAACTGTGGGCCTGTTTTGATCTTCTAACACTGAGTTTCTGAGGGAGAAGAGCAGCAGCAAAAAGTGATGCTACAGGAGGCATAACTGGAATAATGGTAAACCCGGCCCAGGACATTAGATGTTAGAAGTAAATAAATACATAGGTACTTTTTAGTTTTTTTGTTTGTTTGTTTGTTTGGGTTTTTATTTTTAATTAAGTCTGCATTATGTGACAATGAAATCTCTTAGTGCAAGCTGGGTGTCTTGAACGTGTCTGAATTAGCTAAAAGCTACTCTGAAAAAGAACGGGTTTCCAGTTGTAAGAAGGTAAATTTAAAGGTGTTGCAATTTACTGCTTGTCTCTTGGCATTCTTACTCAAAGAAGGTAGAACATAAAATAAGAGGAGTCCTGTAAGGCAAAGATGAGATTATCTGGATGGAGTTGCATCAACTTGTTAGTAATGTCTTATAATTACTGATTCAGGCAAGTATCATCTCTGCTTCATATTAATGGACCTGTTTAGATGGATCAGATACCAGCATTAGGGGTACTACACTGTTTTGATTTTCTGTTTAGTAAAATGGTTTCACTTTGGGTGATTCACTGCAGGCAAAGTCAGTTGGGTTGTTTTTTAGTTGTAATCGCCAAGTTAGCCTGATCTTTTCTACTGAATTATGTACATCTAATAAATTTTATTTTGAAAGATATTTCTAAAAAAAAAAAAAACCAAACCAAACCACCCAACCGAAAAGAAACAAACAAAACACACACCCCCGAAATCCAACAAACCAAAACAAGAACGGGGGTTTTCTTCTGTGCTGATGTGTTTTGGATCTATGTGAGGCACCACTTTGGTGGTGCCCCACCACCTTTGGACCTTTGCAAGTGGAAGTACCACATAAGAATGGATCTTTGGTGCTCAAGTCAGTACATTTCACATAACGATTCTTGTGTAAATCCATAGAAGCAACCACAGACTTAAAGCTCCTCTTAATTCTCTGTGTTAGTTCTCCAGCTAGTGAGAGAGTATGACTGAGTGATATTTATCTAGAAGAGATTTTGCAAATATTGTGCATAATGGGGACTTATTTGTCTGAAGGCAAGATCGTTGAGTGTTGCTTAAATAAGTGTGGGATTCAAAATGCTGTCATTTTATTAAAATTGTTTGCTGCAGGAAAAAGATAAAGGTGGAGAGAAAATTTTAGAAATGCTTATCATCTTGAAACTTTTATCTCTGTTACCGTATATATTTAGTACTGTCTTGACAGCTCTCATGCAAAATAGTGAACCCAAACACTTTTGAGAATGTGGCAAGCTAATGTGTTTACCTGGAAACGGAAAACAAGCTTGTCTTGTAATAGCCACAATTTTCAGTTACTAAAATTGTTATGTGATTATGGGTTATTCAGAGTAGTTCATTGTGATAACCGAGTGCCATACTGAACTGTTGTTATTTATTTGTATATTGTGCATAGGCAGAAAATGATATGAAAAATTCTATGTATAGTACTACTCAGCAGAATGAATTTCGTATTTTGTTTTGGTTTTTTTCAGATTTACAACATGTTGGTTGAAACAGGTGAACTGGAAAATACATATATAATATACACAGCAGACCATGGTTATCATATTGGGCAGTTTGGGCTGGTGAAAGGAAAGTCCATGCCGTATGAGTTTGATATCAGAGTTCCTTTCTATGTCCGAGGTCCAAATGTGGAGGCTGGGTCCTTGTAAGTTCTCGGCTATTGTGTGTGTCCATATGTGTGTGTAGTGACCAGAAAAATCCTTTATGTTCACATCTCGAGACATATTGACCTGGCATCCAAATGGAAGCACAAAGTTCTGCCCATCCTGACCAACTTCCTGCTCAACTTTGGCAGAAAAATAAATCCACTCAGAAAGCAGAACTGATGGCGTGTGCTGCGGTAACAGTCAAGGATTTATGCCGTTGCCTTTCTGCTTGCGTCGGTGTGCAGCACAAGCCACTACAGTTTAGTGGATGTAAAGGATGTAAAGTTGAAAAAAGCACTTTGAAATATGTCCAATCTAGGAAATGCTTATTTGCCCCCTTTTGAGGGGTGCAAGTAATACACGTAACTATGACATTTTCAAGGTGAAAAATATATTGTATAATGTTCACTGCCACAGTAGGTAATTATTGCTGAACGTTAAAGTGGAGTCACTTGTTTATGAAGAAGAATGTACATAGTAGTTCATATATTATCATCCACAAAAGATTCTTTTTCGTTCATCCTTTGAGATTACATGGTTAGGGCTGTTTGTCAGATGCACGCAAGCATGCAGAATATGACTGTTAATTAAAATGGTAGCTTTGATCAGCTAAGAAATTATGTAAATACACTTTCTAAGCAATTATTTCAATAGCAAATATTTGCACTTAAGTAATGATTTTGGACAGAGTGCCATAATTTGCTGCCTTTTATTTATATGACTGTGCATGTTTTAGCATAATTAACACACACGAAGTCTTCCACACAGAGGTTTTTTTCTTTACCTCAGAGGAACAGAACTAGTGTAATACGGCAGCAAATAGTTATTAAAAAAAATCTCGTTCCATTTGCTGGTTAAATTCACTGATTCACGTTATCAGTAGGCACAAAAATGTTAAATTCTGTGGATACTGCACTGTGTGTTTCATTTATTTACAGCAGTTATGTGTGTGAAATAAACAATATTACCTCTCTAAAGAGCAGGGGAGAGATTCCTCAGGTGGAATTAAACATATTACCTCAGCAGTGAAAGATGTTTGTCTGCAGCAGCACAGAATTTCCAGTGAG